TTTGGCAATTCTTCGCCTCGCTGTCTATTGATTTGCATTAAAGTTTAATACCTTAAGCGCTTCCGTAATAGTGGCTGCATCGCTACTTGCTTCTAAGTTCACAAGATATTGTACCGTAATATTTTTTAAAATACTTCCTTTGTCCTTGGGAACATTTCAGGCTATATTTTTTCTAAGTCTTAACACTTTTAAGTAGCAAATTCCAAAATTTTTTGCCACTTTTCGTGCGGTTCCGCCTTTCCGCAGCAAATCTATTATTTACATTTATGGTTCCTGATTAACTATGTATTTACTGGAGATCACTTCTTCAATAAATTACAATATAGAAAAAAGTCATCTGACTTCCAACTAAGTAAAAGATAACTGTCAAATGCAAAACTGAGAGTGAGTGCAAAATGCCTTAATTTACATTTTTGTCTGCTGGTTTTTTTATTGTTGTTGTATTGACTTCAAATCATTATGAGAGAGGGAGTAGGGATGTACCAACAAGAATATGCAGCAAAAGTATGAAGGTCGTTAGAACTTGGAAATATAGCGGTGGCTGAAACAAAAAGCTTTAAACCATGTTACAGTTTTGCTCGTCACTGTATATGTAACGAAGTAATTTTTCCGGATTTTTTAGAAAAGTTTAATTTTTTTACTGTGTATCCTTATGAATTTTAATTGCTGTGAGAACGCATCGATATCAGCACCGCTGACTTTTAGTTAGTCTGCAGCCAACAGGAAAGCAAAAGAGTCGGTTAGTAATAATCTAATAACTATGTAAGGTAGTCATTATGATAACAGTCATGCGATCAAAAAACTAATCAGCCAACGAGTTAACGAGTCAACAAACCAAAAAGCGCGCAAAGAAAACAATAAAAATTCAACCAACTTTTGCCACTGGCTGCTGCTGTTGTTGTCATAACTGAACGCTAGAAGCGGTGAAAACATAAATGCACATTTTGTTCCATGTATATACATACTGACATACATGCTTACGTACATACATATGTATGTACTTGCGCGAGTAATTATGATAGTTAGCATATAGGCAAATGGGCATATCTCATAAACATCAGCAGGCGCCTCATTTCACTTTACATCAGTTTTCCTATAAAGTTATTGTTTTCATTATCGTTCGTCAGCAACTTTTCTTTTCGCATGCTTACGTATGTATGTATGTATGTATGTAGGTATTTTTTGCCCTGAATTACACTTTCCTAGCTGATTATTTTAGACGGTTTGTCGGCTTAACTTGCCACATTCACTTTAACTTTTCCATTTCAACCTATAAAGTTTCATCATTTATGTACAGCAGTACATAACTTACATATATACGTATGTATGTATGTACTCTCAACTTAACATCTGTCTAAGGGTACAATAAAGTTTTTCCTGTTATTGTTTCAAATTTAGGCTTTGTTTTGTTGTTTGTTTTTTTTTTTGTAAAATTAAGCACAGATTTTCCTCAACTCAACTATTTATTGTCTGCCAGCGATTCTTGTTGTTTTACCATTGGTTTGGTGCTTTTTAGTTCCTACTCGTATTATTTCCTTTTCTATGTCTCGTTTTTTGCTCCCAATGCAGCAACAGTCAATAGGGCTATTCGCGATCCGGTGCAAATGGCCTAGCATCATTGCATTGCAAATTTGTATTGCAAATTATTTGCAATACACAAACAAAATACACGCATTTGCATTTGTCATGGCTTGACAAATTTGCAATACCTAAAATCCATAGCATAAAAATGCTATGCATTGCATTCATAAACAAAACCAAAGCTGATGCACAAAAATTGTTTTGCAAAAGCTTTACCATGACAGTTTAATAAAGGTCGCTCACAATCCATGGCGTATTTCTGCAATTGCATAAATTTGTCAGCTCTTATGCACCGAATCGCGAATAGCCCTAATCTTTTTGTTTTCAATGCAATATGGTTATTTGCTATCGGCGAAAATCTGTTGCAGCCCCATTTACGTATTTGCTACTGTTGCTGAATTGTTTATGTATGTTGTTTCTTCATTTTTTATTGTGGCAACATTTAGCAATCACACTATGAGATTGAAAATGGAATTGGAAAACGCCCGCCAAATACTTACAAGTACTTACTCGCACTTCCATTTTCTTCGATTGTAAAGTGGAGCGTGTCTTGAGTTTATGCCGGCAGCACGCCACTCCCATACCGCATATGTAAATACATATGTATGTGCGTACATACATAAGTACTAGGGTGGTCCTTACAGTATCAGCCACAAGAATTGCAACAAATTTTTAGTGGTCGCTGCCAGGGTTTGAAAAAATTAAAATTACAAAGAAAAAATATCGCGAAAATTCGACAAATTTTTTTAATTGAAATCTGATAAATTTGACATATGCATTATTCAAACTTATTAATATAAATCAGGGACAAAAAAAGATATTATTTTAAAGTTTTCAAAGAAAAATATTAAAAGCTATATTTTTTGATGACCATTTAAAACTTTTGACCGATAGATATCTATAAACAAAAATAAAAAAATGTAATTAATAATTATATTTTGATCTTTATTAGTCGCACCGAAAATACATAGTCATGTGTATATACTCATATGTCGAGTTGTATATTTTAATCAAAAATAAAACTAATTTTTCCAGCATTATTATTATTTTTAATTATGTTATGAGTTTTATTTTTTGGATCCCAAAAAGGAATCTTTTTTTTATTTTTTTTTATCAAAAACTGATTGTCTTTTGGAGTTTTATTTATTTTTTCATAAAAAAGTTATTGTTTTTTAATATTTATTTATTTATTTATTTAAAAATAAAACTTCCAAAAAATCCTTTTTCTGGTCAAAAAATAAAACTCATAAGATAATAATTATTTTTGATCAAAAAATAACAATTCACAAATTAATCATTATTTGAGTGGAAAAATATTACATTTAGGGACCACCCTAATAACTACGTAATATATAATATATAAACCACTCTTTTTTATGATTACAAAGGAAGTGAATAGCTGAGCGCCAAGTAAAGTGGAGTAGAAGTGGAAGTAGATTGCTGGTAAAGTGTCTTTTAAGTCGTGGCTCAACATGGACTCTTTGTTGTGCTATTTGATAAGTATTTAAATATGGCATAGTTATTTGTAATCTGTGATTTCGTGGGTTTTGCAAAGTAATCAGACTTCGCATTTCAACGCCCTACAGTTTTTTTAATAATCACGTTCAGTATGTTTGCGACTAGTAAGCTCAGACTCCTGGATCCAATACACGCTACTTTGGGCTTGGTAAGCAACTGAAAAGCACTACATATCTCATATCATGCCCATTCTTTTATATGACTTGGAAACGTGGGCGATGACGAACAAAGATGTGAAGGTTTTATGTACTTTTGAGAGAACAAGATCTACATATCTAGCCCTAACCGCCAAAATAACGTAAGCGACATTTTTTTCAAAATTTTCTTTTTGATGCAGAAATGTATCTAGATGCTCTAGGAATATTTCTGTATCAAAAAGAAAATTTTGAAAAAAATGTCGCTTACGTTATTTTGGCGGTTAGGGCTCGATATGTTCCTGTTTGCGTGGTACCAAAGAAGGTGTACTTAATGACGAACTGTGCGAGCTTTTTAACGATATAGACATAGTTAAGCGCTGTCTTGAGCATGTTGTATGCATAGATGACGAGGCTTCAGTGAAAGAATACTTCGACTCGACACCAATGGCTGCATCCGGAGTGAGAACCTGGCGCAAATTAGCTCTGGGGAGAGTCAAGTGGAGAAGTTTTTTGGTGTCGGCCCAAATCGATAAACCGTCGCAGTGCCTGATAGGAAGAAGAAGAGAACTTTGTGTATACATGGGAAGCCCAACTAAAAAAAAATCTTACTAACGTGTTTTCTCTCTTTAGTTTTTTGTTTGTAATCATTATATAAATAGGCAATCATGTTTCCTTTACACCCCTTTTACGGCTAAACTATACTTCTAAGGTATAAACAGTTATATATCATTAGAAAGGTATTTTGATGCTGATGTGCAGGCAATTTTTAAAATTTCAAATCAGTTTAAAATAGAGCGAAAAAATCAATTCAAAAGTCACACCAATACCAATGCACACATGTACATGGTTGGGGCGGAAATGCCCCCTAAATGTATGCTTTAATAT